CACCTTCTCCCAAATTTCAATTTCTTGAAGATCCAAATCATCCCGTTGGAGCAAAGAAATTAACGCATTTTCTTGAAGTTTTGCAAAATCGTTCGATTGAAAAATAGTGGCTGGATTTTGACATGTAATATCTGTGCAAAATTTTTGAAGTTTCGTAAAAGAGTCATGTTCAAATACGACTTGATTGATCAAGGAAAAATTTTCAGTCATCGATTCGATATGATGCTCCAAAAGAAGGTTTTGAATGTATTCAAGCAATTCATCAAGAACTAACTCATCTGCAGCAATCAATAAGTCTAAAAGTGTCGGCACTCCATGTTCTTTCAAGTCAATTTTGCCACTATACATATATCTAACACATCATAAAAAAAAATTAATTTACTGTATACATGTATCAATACAAGTCATAATTTATTTACCTCAATAAAATTTCAAAAACACACGGCGAAATATTTGGTTTCTTAAAGATAATCATTTTATTTGGTTCTCGTTTCACCCACATATCAGAAAGTGCGGCGGCAAAATATTGTGATTGCGCCATTAAAATAGACGAATGTGCGGTAAAGGTCCGTAAATCAAAAACATTTCCATCACCAACAATGATCGAAATATCACAAAAATTGCCCTTTTCGTAAAATTTAGCCAATTTGTTTGAATGTGAAGTCAATAAGTCGGTCGTCATTTTATTTGATAAGTTTGGTTTGTTTATCGTTATACATATACATGTACGATAAAGATTGGCTATTTGCAGAATCTCGCCACAAAGATTGACGTCGATATGAGATGATCCTTCTGGTGAGTTGAGTCTCGAGTACCGTTAATAGCAAGAGAAACTTCGTTTATCGACATTCTATTTCATTCGGTCTTCACATTTTCAAAGAGATATGGATACAATGAAGCTTTATACACGATTCCAATCACTAGAGATTTAATTTATAATTCATAATCTAGAAGCACTGTACGTGTGCGATGTACTTGTATAAAAATCACTAGTGCTATGTTCAAAAAATTTCAAGTTTCGCAAAAGGAATCTGTTCTGACTTCATTAACCTGTTTACATCTGACGTTTTCAATTCAATAATTTCTATATTAATTGAGCTTTCTACTGGAATTTCCAGTGGTTTTTGATTATGGTAAATATTTTCATGCTGAGATGCAAAACTTCGACTTTTCAGCAACAGACCAGTTGTTACTAAACCAATATTCAATTCAAGTGATAGCATCAAGTGTTGGTCATTTGTATTAATAATATTCTTTTTATAATATTTATTAGAATGTAAAGTCCGTGATCTCCAAGAATCGACAACTACGACAACTCCCCATGATCACAAAATTCTGTAGACGATCTTATTATCCGTATCACGAGAGTTGTGGTGATGTCGCCTCGCAAAATTTGCACTAAAGTTCTTACTTTGTGGTATCAACAGCGACATCGCCTTCCTTAACCACACGAACCCTTCACTTCGACTTTTATATCTTTTGTGTGTCTCAACGAAAGCAATAGCTTTAATTCTTTTTTTGTTTTAACAAATTGAAGGCTTTACTGCTTTGACCATATAATACTGCAGAATCGTGTTTTTGATTCGTTCTTCTTTGATTATTGGCTATTTACTTTTAATATTATTATTGCTTTGGAGAGAACTTATTTTGTGTTAGAGAATTAAATATTACCAGATTTTATAATAATTTTGTTAATTGAATTAAAGTTTTATTTTGTTAAGTGAATAATTATTACTTTTGTTATTTAAACTATTATTCACACCTCTGACACAGGAGATCTGTAGAAGTCTAATGAACCCACTTTTGTAAATAATTCAGTCTAACGCTCAACCCTTGTTGCATCCACAATTTTTTAGTCTAACTAACTTCTGAATTGCCTGTGACAATATGTTAGACTATAAAATTATTTAAAACAAAAATGTTCATTAGCATTTTATAATAAATTCGACTCACCGGTTCTAGACTAATTGACTTTTTCATGAAATTGTTCAATATATAAAATATTTAGTTTATCAATTCTCAGAAATATATATAAAGAACATATAAGATATATGTTATCTTTAATGATAATTAAATTCTCTTTAATAATGAAATCATTCAGTATTAAAATTTTTTCGTTAGCTATATTTTGGAAAGTGGAAAATCAAGATGAATCTAATAAAAAAAGTTGGGATGCACAATTGTGAAATAAATATTACAAAATTTGAATTTGTACCAAAATATATTTTCTAACCAGAAACTCAGAGCATTTTTAAAAAGTGAAATTATATTGGTTGCTACAATCATATTGAGAGTTATTTAATTTTTCTAATTGCTGAGCTTGGTCTAGAAAAGTTCGTATGTATAATGCAAGATCTATCCTATTCTTTTTTAAAAATAAAAATTTCAACCCCGTATATCTTCAAGCTGCCTTCAAATACGCCATCCTCAATGAAAACTCTTTCCTTTTTTTCATGGTCTATTTTGCTAATTCCATATAGTAAACCTGATGAGACCAAGTCCTTGATAATTAATCTGAATTTGGCAGATTGATTCTCATTGCCGTTGGTCACAATCAGCAAAAAAGTCTTTTGATCCTTTGATATCCATCCACCAGAATAAACACTCTGGGCAGGCGAGATAATTATATGAGAATGCGGCAATTGAGACATAAAGAGTATATAATTTGAAAGCATCTTAATCTCTTCGCTTAAATTTGTGATCTGTTCTTTAACTGAATGGTTGAGGGCGAAAGGAAATCGCCAAAACATGAGTCCCTAAACAGAAAGATTTATATTAAAAAAATCCATCAAGATCAAGAAATTTTTTCTTAAAATATACCTTATATCCATATATAATTGAAATATACCACATGACTCTGATTTCTTGAGAGGTAGGTGGCCTCCTCCACCAAGAATTTTGATCATAAAAAGCTTGACTTACCATCCATTTCATAATTGACTCATGTCCAATAAGGTTCAAGTCTGTCATATATTGTTGAGTTCGTTTAGGGATATCTAGAATGACGTCTCCAATACAATTGTCGCAGCCGCATACACCACTGTATTCCGTACATTGTGACATATCGACTCCAACTGGGTAAACATCTAATAAAAACATCGTCACTCATCTTTCGATTAGAATCTCTGAATTGGGAAATATAGAAATGTACCGGTGCCTAATATATCAGCAGCATCTGCATAGAAAGCAACACTATGTTGACAATTTAACACCAGAGCGACTGGATGGTATGGATCCAATTTTTTTATAACGTTGTATGCTTCAAAAACTGCAGACGCATTTGTCCATTGTTCACCATCCGGTTCATCAGCCTCAAATTGGCCATGATTTAAACAAGAGGATAAGATAGTTGTACAAGGAAATACAAAACTTCCAACAGCTAATGACGTCAGGACTTACTATATACCAAGTAAGCAAACTTGAATAATTCTTGAATTGGCTTACTTGGTCAACAACTTTTTGGATATCTTTATAATCGTGCCGAAATGAATATTGGATATAGATTCCGCCTATAGTGTCAGCAGCTTGAAACATTTGATGGATGAACGAAATATTTGGGTAAGGTGGATCGGGGTTAATGATATTGTAATTCAAGTTCTTGAGAGTCAGAAGGTTGGCCTGAATATTTCCTGCTCAATAGTGTGATTTATAAGTTCTCAATGTTACGAAAAAATTCTCGATAAAATTGTAAAAATTTACCTTTCGCTAACCACCCGCCTACGTCAACATATGGACCAACAGGAAAAATGGTTTCATTCGCTGTAGTTAAAATTCCACCATATAATCGATCGATCGTGACAGTCTTCGGACCTAATAATTAAGAAAGGGCTAATTTTTAAATAAAAATTTATATGTTAAGTGTGTAAAAGAATAATGAATGGAACTGACCCACAGGAAGAAAATAAAGTTTTGCATATGTGCTATGAACCAATTTATTGTCATCCCCAATATAGAATGAAACCTTAACGTTGTATGCTGCCAATTTTGGTACAATCTTTGTGAGCGAAAAAGGCACTTCAACCGTATTTTCTTCAAAGTTGATTCTAGTCATCGAAAGTATTTCAGTTCCATCACTCAACAATGCCTCGACAGAAATAACCGAGGTAATAACATTGGTAGTAAACACTAAAGAACCAACGGAATCAGTGCTCAGATAAGGTTGATTTCGAAACGTTGCTACATATCCGCCACTCAGATTTGGCACCAGAGGGATTGGCTCACGCGTTGGTGGAAATCTAATTGTTGAGGGAGTAGTTGATGAAAAAGGATTATAGCTTATATCATTTTCATCTGTCGAGTAAAATATTTCTCGTTCGTTGCACTGATTAATGTCTAGTTTCAGTTGTCGAATATTTCTGAAGAACTGATTCTTCGGAATATAAGGTTTACCACACCAATATTTTATAGCAACTTGATAATCTATACAGGATAAAGATGCCGTGGCCAAAAACAAAAGCAAAATGTTGAAACCAATAAGAAATTTCATTTTTTAAACTGTACATGTAATACATGAAGAAAAGCAACTTCTATATTCAGAAATAAAAATCATGCGCCTTCCGTGACGTATAACGATAAACAAATTGGCTAAATTTTATGAAAAGGGCAATTTTTGTGATATTTCGATAAGTGTTGGTGATAGAAATGATTTACGGGCACATTCGTCTATTTTAATGGCGCAATCACACCATTTTGCCGCCGCACTTTCTGATATGTGGGTAAAACGAGAACCAAATAAAATGATTATCTTTAAGAAACTAAATATTTCGCCGCATATTTTTGAAATCTTATTGAGGTAAATAAATTGTGACTTGTATTGATACATGTATATAGTAAATCAATTTTATTTTTTATGATGAGTTAGATATATATAGTGGTAAAATTGACTTGAAAGAACATGAAGTTCCAAAACTTTTAGACTTATTGATTGCTGTGGATGAGTTGTGTCTTGATGAATTGCTTGAATACATTCAAACCTTCTTTTGGAGCATCATATCGAGTGGATGATTGAAAATTTTTCCTTGATTAATCAAGTCATATTCGAACATGACTCTTACGAAACTTCAAAAATTTTGCACAGATATTACATGTCAAAATCCTGCCGCTATTTTTCAATTGAACGATCTTGCAAAATTTCAAGAAAATGCGTTAATTTCTTTGCTCCAACGGGATGATTTGGATCTTCAAGAAATTGAAATTTGGGAGAAGGTG